CGCTGCTGTATTGCGGCACAAATCCGGCCAAGAGCTCTACTTTGGTATCAAGTGCTCTTTTAATTTAAAAGTTAGTTCGTTATCTCGTAAATTGTAGTCTAAAGGTGACCAGCCTTATGTAAACCATTCTGCGTAGCATCGTTATCAAGTATCGTAAGATAATTACTTGATTTGAAAGCTATTTCACTTACCGTCTTCTGAAGACATATCGCTAAGATAGAGGCACTAGCTTCGTCTCCACATTGGTTACAAACCCACAGGAATTTTACTCCTAGTCTCTGCATGCTGAGACCGCTAGGGGCTATTTGCTCTTCATTGCTATTGTAGCGCTGTCATTAATTCCGGGGAATCCCCTGACGTGTTACGGAATATTTGGTAATTTGACGTGTTGTCTATTATGGATTGTCACGCAAGTATGGTAAAAGGTTTTGCGTCTCTTACATTTGAAGCCAGTTGACACCGTTCTTCGGTAGGATTATTTATAGTTACTACCAAATTATTAGAGACATATTTTCCCATGTGATCATATATAAGTTCTTTTACTGCAGATTAATGGTCCTGTAATAATGACTCAAACTCGATTTGGGTCAATAACTACAGTGTCTCAATTACACTGCAACACGGAATTGTCCAATTTGTTGATGGGCAGCTTGCCAGTTACATAACTGCGTCACTTAAGAGACATGCATGAAAACTAGGGAGGGGAGGGAGGATGGGGCTGCACTTCTTAGTTGATAAATTCCCTGAGATGAGGAAGCTGCTATTTATTAAGGTTATTTTAAATGTCCCAGCTTCTACCATCAGCAATTTAACCAGCCTCAAATGAATAATTGCGTGGCCTTATAGATGTAAAGACCCATGAAGGACAAGCACCGTGCATTCCCTAGCAACTAAAAATATGACTTGTTACTTGTGTCGCTTTGTCACACAGTCGAAGCATCAATCTCCCTCAATAATCACTTTACCTTCCTCTCCCCCTCCGAAAAAAAAAACAAAACAAAACAAAAAAACAGGTAATCTAAGGTGTCAGAAATGATCATGGAGTATTTAAGAGCGCGGCAAACGGAAACGTTCAAACCTTGTGGCCATGAGGCCGGTGTTTATCTCGATCCAGTTTTTGTAGCATGACGCAACTAGGAATATTTCTACTCTTTCCCTCCCCTTGGATAAGATGCTAGTCTATCGCCGGCAGGGTTACTCTACCATTTAATTCGCCGGTACCTGGGTTGTGAGAGGCACTGTTAAAGGAAAGTGTGTTGCCCAAGAACACAACCAAAGGTAAAATGAAAAAATTTAACCACGCGCAATAAGTCAAACAGCTTTCATTCGTAGTTTGCCTACAAATGGAACATCGGATTGACATAAAATTTGCTGAAAGAGATAAAATGATATATAGACAGGGCTAAAAACTTGAAAAATTATTATTATAAAACCGAACGTTTTCTGTCAATATCAGGATTGACGAAAATAAGTCGAAGATGATGATGACAATAAGTCGAAAACTTTTAATTTAATTTATGATAATGTTTCTAGTTTTTAGCTTGTATATATATATTGGATTATTATAGATTAACAATTGTTCACGTTGGAACCGTTGAACACACCGCACTAGAATCGAGAGAAAAACTCTCTCTTAAAAACATAATACCGTATTTGATCTCACAGACCAACTCGCTAAACTATAAGGCCACTGCGCCTGAGGCAAAATAGAACTGAACAAATGTAATAATAATAATAATAATAATAATAATAATAATAATAATAATAATAATAATAAAATATTTATATAGC